ACCATTTTTTTATGGTCCACTTCAATAACAAATTTGAAATGCAATTTTAATAATATTGTTGAATAAAATTAAACTCTTCTCTGATTGCTGATACAAATGTCAACAAACAAAGAATGCAACAATTAAAAATGGGAAATTGTGGTTCAGCAAAAAATATTTCTGATGGAATTTATTTAGAGACTGATCTTTTCTGGCAGGGCAGGTAGAATTTTGAAGTTGGTATGTGATAAATAATTTTGGGAAATTTCAAACATGTTTTGACCGACATGTTTTCTAGAAGTTGGGACATACTGTGAAAAACATTTGAATTTTGCAAGTAATCGTTAAATTTTGTAACAAAAATTGAGAGGTTTGAAGAATATCATGGATAAATAGTGATATTTCCAGCATTATCACTGATGTGATGTATGTTTACAGGTTCAAACTCAGCCACAACAACAACAACAGCAGCAACAACAGCAGCAAGTACAGCAAGTGGCAACGGCGGGATCTTTACAAGCGGGGGCAACTGGGACAGTAATATTGCAGCCATCACCACACCAGACGCAAACCATTCATCAAGTACAGCAAGCACCAAACCAACCTACTGTTACCATGGCAACTGTTGTGAACGCTGCTGGTCAGCTTGTGTATCAGCCAGTTACCATGATAACTCCACAAGGACTACAAGGATTAGTCACGCCGGGTGCTATCCCAGGAACGGTACAAATACAGACAACTTCACCACAAGCAATGTCGCAACAATTGTTACAAACAGCACCCTCAATAATCCATGGCTCAACACCGATATCACAAATTGGAATTCCACCGGTATCTTCACAGATTGGAACGGCCACACCTACTACTGTTACATTATCTACTTCTACTCCCTCCAGTATTGATACAAGTTTGTTGGATGGTGACTTGTTAAACAAGAGAAAAAATAAGCGTGGCGTTCTTCCAAAACAAGCGACTAATGTCATGAGGTCGTGGCTCTTCCAACATATAGTGGTAAGTCAGTGTCAAAATTATTAGCTTAGTTGTCTCATTTACCTCATGTCCTGTGATGATTACTCAGAAATGTGCAAACAGATTTGAATTAAATTTGGTATGAACACAGAACATTAGCATTTAACATTAAAGACATAATATCTGTGTTGTGGACAACAATTGTTTAGCATTGTTGTTGTAGGAATGACTTTTTAAGCCTCAAAATCAACAAAAAATCTATCATTGTAGGGATTATAAACAATGAAAACTACTAAGGAAAACAAGAATTTGAATAATCCAATGTGACCTTCAGTGGAAGTGTTACCGTACTCGACCGCGTTAGCGCCCAGGGGCCTCAACTCAGAAAATCACGATTTTTTAGGGTGGCGCTTACCCGAGCACCCCCTCGAAAAGAGTG